GTCCTCCCACTGGCAGTGCGCCGCCTGAGTCCCGATGCCTGGGACTCCTCCCCCTACTGCACTCTGGTGTGGACGCTGGTCCTGATTTCCAACTGCTGCTCTCTGAGTCCCCTCTGGCCCCTTCTTCCTGGGGTGTCCCCCTCGGCACCCCCTTGCTCTGACCAAGGGGCCCCTTTCTGTGAATCTTCCGATTCGCTGGAAAGACTCAGAGACCTCGGACCGCTGTCATCGCTAACATTTCCTTCGGACTCCTCCCCCTCGCTCTCTATTTCCTCCCTTTCCTGTGCCTCTGCTCCTGAACCCCTGACATCCATCCCCCCCTCGAAGCCCCCCCTCCCCTCCTTCAGGTGTGGGTACTGGGTGCTCCGTCGTTGTGGGGGTGAGTGCCGGATACAGTTCGTCCCCCGTGGCGTGCATCCAGCCGGATAAGTCCGGCTCGTCCTCCGTGCTCTCGCCGACCTCAATTTCCTCTGCTTCCATCTCTTTGCCGCCGTGCTCGAGCCCACGGGCCTCCGCCAACACGTCCATGTCCGGCTCTCCCCGGTCTCCTCCGGGGCGTTGCCTGCCAAGGACCCCCAACCACTTCCTGCGCCACTGCTCCTCTGGTTGATTGTCCCACCAATAGGAACGGTCTGAGGCAGACCCGAGGGTGATCCCTCCGGGGAACGTGTTTCTAGTGCCGGTTCCTCGTCCGAGGTGAACCCCTGGAATGTGCTAGCTGAAAATGTGGGTGTGAAAAGCCAGTCGTCGAAATACTCGGCTGGCATGGGCCTGTGTGGGAAAAGTGCATGGAACTCGTCCTTGAGCCAAGATTCCTCCAGAGCATAATCTGGCACCCAACTGTTGGCGCTAGCCGAGGTACCTTCCTTGGCGAGGAGGTATTCCACTCCCTCCTCCCCCCCATCTCGAGTCTAAAATCTCTGTGACTTCGTTGACGGGTTCCCGCCTTGGCGACCCCCCCCTTGTGGGCGTTTCCCTGAGCGGGTCTGGTGCCGTTCCTGGCTCCTGAAATCTATGAGGTGCTTTGTAGGGCGTGAGCACTGATCTATGGAAAACTGGGTGCATTCTGGATCCCTCCGGCAGTGTCAACCGGAAGGCCACTGGATTGACCTGTGCCTCGACTTGGTAGGGTCCTAGCTGCTTATGCCCTAGCTTCTTCTTCGCTAACGATCTGGCCGGCACTGCCTGGGCTGCTAACCAAACCCAGTCTCCCACCTGTATGTCTTCCCCAACCCTTCTGTGCTTGTCAGCCTGCAGTTTGTATGCGTGCTTTGCTAGTTCTAACTGCCTCCGAAGCTGTTCGTGAACCTCCTGCAACTCTGATGCTAAGGCTTCCGCTGCCTGTGGCTCCCCCTCCCCCGCTCTCGCTAATCCCGGGAAGGTTCTGGGATGCCTCCCGTTGTTGGCGAGAGCGGGGTCACCCCGTGGACACGTGCTTCGTGTTGTTGTAGGCGAACTCAGCGGCGGCAGGTAGTCCACCCATGTTGCCGGCTGCTGATTTGCGTAGCATCGCAGGTACTGCTGCATGATGGCGTTGACTCGCTCCGCTTGTCCGTTCGTCTGCGGGTGTCTCGCCGGCGCTAGGTTGATCTTGACGTTCAGGAAACCCATCAGCTTCTGCCAGAAGTTCGAGATGAACTGTCGCCCCGGTCGGACAGGATAGACCGTGGCAGACCGTGAACCCTGAACACGTGGTCTATGAACAGTTTGGCGGTCTGTTCCGCCGTGGCCACCTTCGCGCACGGAATGAAGTGGGCCATTTTGGTGAACATGTCCACCACCACTAGCACTGCCGTCTTGCCCCTCGAGCTGGGTAGATCCGTGACAAAGTCCAGGGCCACCCTCTCCCACGGTTCGAGCGGTGTCTGCAGCGGTTCGAGCAGTCCCGCCGGCGGTTTGTGCACTGACTTGGCCCTTTGGCAGGTGTCGCACCTCGAGCCGTAATCCGCGACTTCCCACGCATCTTGGGCCACCAAAAATCTCTGGCTACTAATTCTACCGTCTTCTCTTTGCCAAAGTGCCCGGCGGTGGGTGCGTCGTGCAACTGCTGCAGTACTTTCGCGCGGAGGTCGTCTCCCGGTACGTAGAGGGCCCCTCTGCGGATGAGCAATCCGTCGCGTATCTGGAACTCGTCGTCCTCCGCCGTGCCCCTTTGCACCTCTGCCATCTTTGCTTGCGCGAAGGGGTCCTCCTGCAGTGCTCGCCGTACAGCATCCAGGTCCACGGTTGCTGAAGCGCACGCCCACGCTTTCGGTGCGAAAATGTGCTTGGCCGCTGCTGGTGCCGCCTCCTCGAGGTATTGCGGCTTTCTGGACAGTGCATCCGCCATGATGTTGTTGTCGCCTGGGATGTACTCTATCCTGAAGTCGAAATCCGCAAAGAACTCCGCCCATCGTATGTGCCTCTGGTTCAGGAACCTTGCCGTGCGCCAGTACTCCAGGTTTTTATGGTCCGTGCGGACCTGCACTGTGTGTTTGGCTCCAATGAGGAAGTGCCGCCACGCCTTGAATGCTGCATGAATGGCCAGCAACTCCCTGTCCCAGATGGTGTAGTTCTGCTCTGACTTGCTGAGCTTCCTGGAGTAGAAGGCACACGGTCTCCAGTCCCCATGCGGGTCTTGCTGCAACAGTACTGCTCCCACGGCTCTGTCTGAGGCGTCCGTTTCAACCCTCATCGGTCTGCTGGGATTCACATGCAGTAGCTGCTCTTCGGACGAGAAGAGACGCTTGAGTTTCTGAAAGGACTGCTCCGCTTGCTCCGTCCAGATGAACTTCTTCTTCTTGGAGCTGAGCGTGTCGGTAATGGCCGCCGTCTGCATCGCGAACCCCTTGATGAACTTGCGGTAAAAGTTGGCGAAACCGACAAACCGCTGGACCTCCTTCCGATTGCGCGGGCTCTTCCAGTCCAACACTGAGCGAACCTTGGCGCTGTCCATGGCGAGCCCCTTGTCCGACAACTTGTAGCCCAGGAAATCTACCTCCTTCATGTCGAACTGGCACTTCTCCAGCTTGGCGTACAGCCTGTGCTCCTGCAGTCTCTGCAGAACTTCCTTGACGTCTCCCTCGTGGGTCTCCTCTGATTCTGAAAATATCAGGATGTCGTCCAGGAAGCAGACGCATTTCTTGTAGAGGAGACCCGCCAATACGTGATGCATGAAGGCTTGAAAACAGTGGGAGCCATTTTGTAATCCAAAGGGCATAACTCTGTATTCATAGGTGCCCAGGGGCGTGAACATGGCAGTCTTCCATTCGTCGCCCTCCCGTATGCGAATCAGGTTGTACGCCCCTCGCAGATCCAACTTTGTGAAACGCGTCCTTTCCTCACCGTTGCGAGCAGGTCATCTATCTTGGGCATGGGAAAGGCTGTGGGCTTGGTTTTCGAGTTCAAAATTCTATAGTCCACCACAAGCCTTTTTTGGGGCGTGTCCTTCTTCTTCACAAAGAATACAGGACTGCCCCCCACTGCCTTCGACTCCTGGATGAAACCGCGCTTCAAGTTGAGGTCTATGAACTCCCTGAGTTCCTGCAGCTCGTCTTCAGACATGGAATACAGTTTCCCGGTTGGCAGCGTCGCCCCTGGCAGGGGTCAATCTTGCAGTCATAAGACCTGTGGGGAGGTAGCTTGTCCGCTTCCTTCTCGCAGAAAACCTCCAAAAACGCTGCGTACTTGAGTGGCACTGCTTGCAGCGTGCCTAATTGTAGCTGCGGGTCATCCTCTTCCCCTTCCGGGCTAGGCAGAATGCAATGTTCCGCACAGTATGAGGAGCCGAAGGTCAGTTGTCGCTGGTACCACGCCAATGCTGGGCTGTGCCTGTGCAGCCAACTCATGCCTAATACTATAGGCGTGTCCGACAGTTGGGTGACATTGAAGCTGATGACTTCTCGGTGATTCCCAATTTGCATCACCATCGGAGGCGTTTGCTGCACCACCTGCCCCCAGCAATTCCCTGCCATCCACCGTGACAACTTTCAGAGGCAGCGTGGCTGGCAGGAGTGCTATGTTGTGCTCTTGAAGGAAATCCAGTCCTATGAAGTCTGCGTTACTACCAGAGTCAATGGTAATCGGCACTTCCATAGTGAGTCCATTGGGTAGTTGGAGCGATGCTGTGAGCTGCACCACTGGTTTTGGGCGGGATGGTTTCTGTGGGCTGCAAAATCTCTGGGGACGGCTTCATTGACTTGTCTGGTTGGGCCCCAGTGCCTCTTCCTCCAACCAGACTCTGTCGTTTCCCTGCTGTGGTTCTCTCTGCTGAGTTGCTTCTGTTACTGTTGCTGAGGCTGCAGTGTGCTTGTGGAGCCTCTGGGGACACTCTTTCGCCATGTGCTGAGCACTGTCGCAGATGTAGCACTTCCTGTTCCCTCTAGGAGGCTTCGCTTTGACTGCTCCCGGTGTTAAGGCTCTGGTTGCTGACTGAGCCCTGGCGCCTCCAATCTCCATCGGTTGCTCTCCCCCTCCTTGCGGAGGTGGGGATTGCACACGCGCTGCATCCTTGGGAAAGAGGGGAGGTGCTCTCACTGGCGTACGTCCCCAACGTCCTTCTTCTCTGTTCCATGGACGTTCTTCCAGACGCACCCCAATTTGCAGCGCCCGCCGGACAACCTCCTGAGTGCTCTTTGGTCTCTCCCCCTTGCAATCTCATCTTTCACATTTGCATTCAAGCCTTCCCAAAAAGGTCTCTGGCTGGGGCAGAATCCTTCTCCCATCCCAGCGCATGGACTAATGCAAAAAGCGGGAATGGTACTGCCTTACACTGGCTCTGCCTTGTTTGAGCCCATGTATGTCTTTTCTGGCGATATCAATGTCTATATTTGATAAAAAACACGAATCCATCGCTTTAATGAATGCATCCGCATTTTGGAGCGCCGGATCCTTATCTCTCCACAGATTGCGCAGCCACGCTTTAGCTTCCCCATGCAAATGGGACAAGATAAACCCCACCTTCTCTTGCTCATCTCTAAAGTCTTTATCCAGCAGTTCCAGCGCAAACAGCACGTCTGCTCGGAAGTTAGGGTACTGCTGCAAATTCCCATCGAAATGAGATACCAGGCTGCCTCCTCTTTTCCCCAGCCCAATCCCCTCTGATTTGGGTCCCGGTTGCCCCTGCTTAGCAAGCACTTCCAACCTGGCTTGGAGATCCCTGCAGGCGGCAGCCGCTTCCTCTTCCCTTTTCCTGGATGCGAGTACCTCCGCGTTGAGTTGTGTCACTGCATTTTGCAGGGCTGCTAGTTGCTGTTCTGTAGTCATCTTGCCTGACTTTTGTGAGCTCGCGAAGCACCAATCTTCTTCCCTCGCTGCGTCCACTCACGTTACGAGGTTTTTGGTGCAAAACTTTTGGAGATGGAGCTTACTGTCAGAGCTGGCTCCAGGTCCCAGCTCACAGAGGACCAACGCTAGCCGGCAGTAATGTACAAAAGTCTTTATTGAAGTACAGTTTCCATTTTCAAGCCGGAGCGCCCCAGCTCTACGTCTAGGGGTTAGATCGGCGAAGCTCCATCTGAGTCTCCGCCCCCTGTACACCAGTTTAAGATTCTAGCCTTACTCCACCTCTTACGTCTCTCCTTTCTCCTCTGGGTCCTGCTACCCCCCGGGGTCCCTTCCTTCCTGGATTCTTCTGACGCTGACCCCCTGACTCCTCCCCCTCTTTTCGGCGGGCTTTGGGACCTGGCTCCCTATCCGGGCTGCCAACTGCGCCGCCCTCCTGTACATTTGAACTTGGCGCGCGCGCCCAGCCTTCAACCTTCCTCTCGACCGTTTCCTCGCTCCCCGATGGAGGCGTGGCCAATCCTGACTCATGTCCTCCCACTGGCAGTGCGCCGCCTGATCCCGATGCCTGGGACTCCTCCCCCCTACTGCACTCTGGTGTGGACGCTGGTCCTGATTTCCAACTGCTGCTCTCTGAGTCCCCTCTGGCCCCTTCTTCCTGGGGTGTCCCCCTCGGCACCCCCTTGCTCTGACCAAGGGAGCCCCTTTCTGTGAATCTTCCGATTCGCTGGAAAGACTCAGAGACCTCGGACCGCTGTCATCGCTAACATTTCCTTCGGACTCCTCCCCCTCGCTCTCTATTTCCTCCCTTTCCTGTGCCTCTGCTCCTGAACCCCTGACAACTGTGTTTTCGCTTCCATATGCGTAGAAAGAAGACGAATCAACTTTGATTGGGCTTATTTCAATTCGCATGGTTTTTTTAGGGTGTGCACCCGAATCACCACCAACCGAAGCCAAAAGGTCTTTTGGGTTCCATATACATAAAAAGAAGACCATAAAGCTCTGATTGGGCTAATTTCTAATTGGTGTTTTTGAGGTTAGAATGCACATTCACTCAAAAATCGCAAAGTGACATGTTGGTTATCAGCCCAAACCAAGCATGGGTGTTTTGGTTCAATCTCTATAGAAAGAGGACAAATAAGCTTGGATTGTTCTTTCGGTGTTTATTCACCCACAAATAGCAACGCGAACTGCAATAAGCCTAAACAAAGCCAAACAGGTTGTTTTGATTTCCAGCTGCATAGAAAGAAGAATCTTGGATTTCGCTTACTTCGTGTTCTTTGGTGTTAATGCACATTGACCCAGAAATCGCACAGTGTGTGTATGCAGACCAAAATAACACACGGTCTTTCGCCAAACAGGTTGTTTTGATTTCCAGCTACATAGAAAGAAGAATATTTGATTTCGCTTATTTCGTGTTCTTTGGTGTTGATGCACATTGACCCAGAAATCGCAAAGTGTGTGTAATGAAACCAAAATAACACAATACTGTCTTTTCGCTTCCATGCGTGTAGAAATAAGACAAATCAGCTTTGATTGTGCTTATTTCAATTCGCATGGGGGTTTTATGGGTGTGCACCAGAATCACCCCCAACCAAAGCAAAAGGGTGTTTTGGCTTCCAGCTACATAAAAAGGTGATGATAAAGCTCTGATTGGGCTTATTTCAAATTGGTGTTTTTGGGGTTAGAATGCACATTCACCCAAAAATCGCAGAGTGACATGTTTATTATCAGCGCAAACCAAGCATAGGTGCTTTGGTTCCATCTCAATAGAAAGTGGACGAATAAGCTTGGATTGTTCTTTCGGTGTTCATTCACGCACAATTAGCAAAGCGAATTGTAATAAGCCTAAACAAAGCTAAATAGGTTCTTTTGGGTTCCAGCTACATAGAACGAAGAATCTTTGATTACGCTTATTTTAAGTCGTGCTCTTTACTGTTAATGCACATTGACGCAGAAATCGCAAAGTGTGTGTATGCAGACCAATATAACACTGTGTTTTCGCTTCCATACGCGTAGAAATAAGACAAATAAGCTTCGATTGTGCTTATTTCAATTCGCATGGTGTTTTTTGGGTGAGCACCAGAATCACGCCCAACCAAAGCAAAAAGGCCTTTTGGGTTCCATCTACATAAAAAGATGATGATAAAGCTCTGATTGGGCTTATTTCATATTGGTGTTTTTGGGGTTAGAATGCACATTCACCCAAACATCGCAGTGACATGTTTGTTATCAGCCCAAACCAAGCATAGGTGCTTTGGTTCCATCTCAATAGAAAGTGGACGAATAAGCTTGGATTGTTCTTTCGGTGTTCATTCACGCACAATTAGCAAAGCGAATTGTAATAAGCCTAAACAAAGCTAAATAGGTCCTTTTGGGTTCCAGCTACATAGAACGAAAAATCTTTAATTTCGCGTATTCCAAGTCGTGTTCTTTGGTGTTAATGCACATTGACCCAGAAATCGCAAAGTGTGTGTAATGAAACCAAAATAACACACTACTGTCTTTTCGCTTCCATGCGTGTAGAAATAAGACAAATCAGCTTTGATTGTGCTTATTTCAATTTGCATGCGGTTTTATGGGTGTGCACCAGAATCACCCCCAACCAAAGCAAAAGGGTGTTTTGGCTTCCAGCTACATAAAAAGATGATGATAAAGCTCTGATTGGGCTTATTTCAAATTGGTGTTTTTAGGGTTAGAATGCACATTCACCCAAAAATCGCAGAGTGACATGTTTATTATCAGCCCAAACCAAGCATAGGTGCTTTGGTTCCATCTCAATAGAAAGTGGACGAATAAGCTTGGATTGTTCTTTCGGTGTTCATTCACGCACAATTAGCAAAGCGAATTGTAATAAGCCTAAACAAAGCTAAATAGGTTCTTTTGGGTTCCAGCTACATAGAACGAAGAATCTTTGATTACGCTTATTTTAAGTCGTGCTCTTTATTGTTAATGCACATTGACGCAGAAATCGCAAAGTGTGTGTATGCAGACCAAAATAACACAACACTGTGTTTTCGCTTCCATATGCGTAGAAAGAAGACAAATAAGCTTTGATTGTGCTTATTTCAATTCGCATGGGGTTTTATGGGTGTGCACCAGAATCACCCCCAACCAAAGCAAAAAGGTCTTTTGGGTTCCATCTACATAAAAAGAAGATGATAAAGCTCTGATTGGGCTCATTTCATATTGGTGTTTTTGGGGTTAGAATGCACATTCACCCAAACATCGCAGTGACATGTTTGTTATCAGCGCAAACCAAGCATAGGTGCTTTGGTTCCATCTCAATAGAAAGTGGACGAATAAACTTGGATTGTTCTTTCGGTGTTCATTCACGCACAATTAGCAAAGCGAATTGTAATAAGCCTAAACAAAGCTAAACAGGTCCTTTTGGGTTCCAGCTACATAGAACGAAAAATCTTTAATTTCGCGTATTCCAAGTCGTGTTCTTTGGTGTTGATGCACATTGACCCAGAAATCGAAAAGTGTGTGTATGCAGACCAAAATAACACAACACTGTATTTTCGCTGCCATGTGCGTAGAAAGAAGACGAATCAACTTTGATTGGGCTTATTTCAATTCGAATGGTGTTTTTAGGGTGTGCACCAGAATCACCCCCAACCAAAGCAAAAAGGTATTTTGGGTTCCATCTACATAAAAAGATGATATAGCTCTGATTGGGCTAATTTCAAATTGGTGTTTTTTGAGTTAGAATGCACATTCACTCAAAAATCGCAGTGACATGTTGCTTATCAGCCGAGACCAAGCATGGGTGTTTTGGGTCAATCTCTATAGAAAGAGGACAAATAAGCTTGGATTGTTCTTTCGGTGTTTATTCACCCACAAATAGCAAAGCGAAATATAATAAGCCTAAACAAAGCCAAACAGGTTGTTTTGGGTTCCAGCTACATAGAACGAAGAATCTTGGATTTCGCTTATTTTAAGTCGTGCTCTTTACTGTTAATGCACATTGACGCAGAAATCGCAAAGTTTGTGTATGCAGACCAAAATAACACAACACTGTGTTTTCGCTTCCATATGCGTAGAAAGAAGACGAATCAACTTTAATTGGGCTTATTTCAATTCGCATGGTGTTTTTAGGGTGTGCACCCGAATCACCGCCAACCGAAGCCAATAGGTCTTTTGGGTTCCATATACATAAAAAGATCATAAATTGGGCTAATTTCAAATTTATGTTTTTGGGGTTAGAATGCACATTCACTCTAAAATCGCAGTGACATGTTTGTTATCAGCCCAAACCAAGCTTGGGTGTTTTGGTTCAATCTCTATAGAAAGAGGACAAATAAGCTTGGATTGTTCTTTCGGTGTTTATTCACCCACAAATAGCAACTCGAACTGCAATAAGCCTAAACAAAGCCAAAGGTTGTTTTGATTTCCAGCTGCATAGAAAGAAGAATCTTGGATTTCGCTTATTTCGTGTTCTTTGGTGTTAATGCACATTGACCCAGAAATCGAAAAGTGTGTGTATGCAGACCAAAATAACACACCATCTTTCGCCAAACAGGTTGTTTTGATTTCCAGCTACATAGAAGGAAGAAGATTTGATTTCGCTTATTTCTTGTTCTATGGTGTTGATGCACATTGACGCAGAAATCGCAAAGTGTGTGTATGCAGACCAAAATAACACAACACTGTATTTTCGCTTCCATATGCGTAGAAAGAAGACGAATCAACTTTGATTGGGCTTTTTTCAATTCGAATGGTGTTTTTAGGGTGTGCACCAGAATCACCACCAACGAAAGCAAAAAGGTATTTTGGGTTCCATCTACATAAAAAGATGATATAGCTCTGATTGGGCTAAATTCAAATTGGTGTTTTTGGGGTTAGAATGCACATTCACCCAAACATAGCAGAGTGACATGTTTGTTATCAGCCCAAACTAAGCATGGGTGTTTTGGCTCAATCTGAATAGAAAGAGGACAAATAAGCTTGGATTGTTCTTTCGGTGTTTATTCACCCACAAATAGGAAAGCGAATTTTAATAAGCCTAAACAAAGCCAAACAGGTTGTTTTGGGTTCCAGCTACATAGAACGAAGAATCTTGGATTTCGCTTATTTTAAGTCGTGCTCTTTGCTGTTAATGCACATTGACGCAGAAATCGAAAAGTGTGTGTATGCAGACCAAAATAACACAACACTGTGTTTTCGCTTCCATATGCGTAGAAAGAAGACGAATAAACTTTAATTGGGCTTATTTCAATTCGCATGGTTTTTTTAGGGTGTGCACCCGAATCACCACCAACCGAAGCCAAAAGGTCTTTTGGGTTCCATATACATAAAAAGAAGACCATAAAGCTCTGATTGGGCTAATTTCTAATTGGTGTTTTTGAGGTTAGAATGCACATTCACTCAAAAATCGCAAAGTGACATGTTGGTTATCAGCCCAAACCAAGCATGGGTGTTTTGGTTCAATCTCTATAGAAAGAGGACAAATAAGCTTGGATTGTTCTTTCGGTGTTTATTCACCCACAAATAGCAACGCGAACTGCAATAAGCCTAAACAAAGCCAAACAGGTTGTTTTGATTTCCAGCTGCATAGAAAGAAGAATCTTGGATTTCGCTTACTTCGTGTTCTTTGGTGTTAATGCACATTGACCCAGAAATCGCACAGTGTGTGTATGCAGACCAAAATAACACACGGTCTTTCGCCAAACAGGTTGTTTTGATTTCCAGCTACAAAGAAGAATATTTGATTTCGCTTATTTCGTGTTCTTTGGTGTTGATGCACATTGACCCAGAAATCGCAAAGTGTGTGTAATGAAACCAAAATAACACAATACTGTCTTTTCGCTTCCATGCGTGTAGAAATAAGACAAATCA